GAGTGGTAGTTTAGCGGTCGACGATAGCTTGGTAAAAGTGGATTTCACATCCTGCTTAATTGTAATTGCCACGCAACTAGGACTGGATCGAAAGGATTCAGAGTGGTAATTAGCGATGAGACAGGATTTCCACGTCTGTTACCTAATTGCCGCGCAACAAGGGCTGGATCTGGAAGGTTCAGAGCGGTAATTAGCGGTCGAGGACAGCTTGCAAGAGGGGAACATCTTCCCACACCTATTTGCCGTAGTTTCCACTGGATCCGAAAGGGTTCAGTGTGGTAATTAGCGGTCAGATTACAGGTATTACATGGGGACGTTCCAGCAATTGAAGCGAAGACATTTATTGTTTCATCAACGGAATTGGAAGATTATGTATGAACTTATTGTCAATTTTTCAAAGTTGAACTTTTAATCTGTATTATTTTATGGCATAGTAGTAAACTTTATTAATTATCTATTTATTTTTGGATGCAATTCATTTTACCGGAATTTATCAAAGAGTTTGTCTCATGCTCTATTAGTTTATGAGTAATTATCTTCCATATGTAAATGTATAGTCAAAAAGACAATTGAAATAAATTAATAAAGCAAGCTAGTGAGTCACCTATAATTTACATATTCATCTGTATTGTTTTTTTTTTCACGTGAAATGGTCGTTGCATGATCATACTTTCATATGCAAAAATATCGGGTGAATAGTCCCCGAAATTAAAATATTCTTGACCGTCGTTCTTTATTATTTATGACAATATAATCAATAATTAGTATGATCAGAACCTGTTATTATTGCGATGCATGAGAAATGTTTGTAACTAAACGGAATTGTTATTTTTAATATTAACTGCACACTTACTTAAGGAGGAAATTCATGAATGTGAATCATCCAACAATGAGCCTTCTACTTTGGCGAAAACATAAACTACCGATGTAACCAGCCTGATCAAAAAGGTGTGACTTTATCGGGAAATTATCTGAAAAAATGGGTTGTACAAACGAAGCTAAAATTAGATTTGCATTTTGTCTGTTAATATAAACCCTTCATCTAAGAAGTACTACATACAAGTCCGTTAATACAAATAGCTCAACATCTTTTGTTTGTTGGGGTTTTATTTAATTTTTTATTCACTTTTCCCTAATATGTCAACATCAAAAAAGCCACGATCAAACGCCGCAAAGCCTCATCCCGATATAGGATAAGAAACGACAATAAGAATTCGGAAAACCATCGGAGCGCGCATAATTATCTGGGAGTTATTACTTAATATGAATTCTCACAAAACATATTCAATATGGCGAATGAATAGCAGTTATTGCCTTATCTGCTGTGGACACAGAGAATATTAAACCTTTGAAGTTTTGTAGAAACAGAAGCAGTGGCTTAGATTTCGCTGTAGCAACTTTAATGCAATATTTTCGCACAATAGACTAAAAAACATTCAGAACCCTTAAATAGAAAAATGATTGAAAATCTTAAAAAGGCTCTTAAAAAACTTGGCAGACTGCTTAGTATTAGATTGAGATAAACTATAAAAAGTTCCTCCCTTTCTGGTCTTCGCAGAGAAATAAAAAAGCAGTCAAATAACTATCGTGATGGAGAACAACAAAACCAGTCAAGAAACGAACAAAAAAGCTGCATAAACAGACTAAGTAAGAAAGTGAAAGTCATATGCGGACTGGCGATTTTTGTTTTAATAGGCTTGGTAAATGTAATTACTGGACTTAGAAAAGCTGGAAAGAGTATTGGAAAAAGTATTGGAAAGGATGAAGTAAATGCAGCAGAATCAGCTGCAGAAACCGTCCTTGACTACTTGTATACTCATACATCATCATTATCCTCACCAAAACTATATCCAACCCCGAGTCAAATTTTTTATACCCTTGCCCAGCCTCGTCCTACCAATAGTAATGGCCAATCTGGCCCATGGATATAAACTGTTAACAGCAAGAACAACAACAACAACAACAACAACAACAACAACAACAACAACAACAACAACAACAACAACAATTACTACTACTACTACTACAAACCCTAAACCATTGGTAGAAGTTTACGTGTGCAGAGGTTCGTTAAATTTTGGGGAAAACCAGCAAGTCCGCCTTTCCAAATTTTATATTTGATTGGCTGTTCGGGATACTTCTACAACTTTACTTGTTAAACCAAGATAACGAGATACTTGCTTTTCAACCGTCGCTTAAATTTTTGGTTTGTTTACTTGACAGTTAATTATCCTGGGCGATGGTGAAAGTTGAAAGTATTTGGCCAGAAGTTTTAAAAAATTTTGTATTCCATTACTTTTTATATATTAATATATTGTTGAAAACGGAATAGGCTTTTTTAGCCAAATTCTTAGGTTACTACTCTTGTAACATGAATGTGAAAAAAACTTTTCGACTGGTAAAAAAATTTGTAATCTTCCAATTAAACGACAGCATATTTACTTTTTTTAATTTACTATTAATTAATTCGGTTTTTAGTGAAAATTTATAAATATGTTTTAATGTTAAAAAGCTATTTTTACTAAAAATGCTTTTATTCGAACAAAATAACGTATTAGTGGAAAATAAACTTAAATTACTTATTATTATGTTTATTTATAATTAATTAATTTCTTTTGGAACGATGAGAAATGTAGAAATATTCCAAATAATCCACATTCACAAAACGTTAATGCGAAGCTATGGCATGTATTAACGTCATTCGGAGTACAATAGAACACTTAGACAATCTAATTGTGTGAGGGTCAATTGTTCTGGGAAGTGATTTTTTCATAATGCAGAGATATAAACGTACACACACGATGTTTTTTTTTAAATCTTAATCTAACCAAAACTTAAGAATCAACCTTAATTAGTCAAGAAATCTTGAACGCTTTGGTTTTCTTCTCTCTTGGGTTTGTCATTGATTAGTAATCTTGGCTCAGATGTTTCAAAGAACGGTGCGAGCTGCGTTATGATCTCCGTCAATCTCAAAACCGCATTCGTCGCACTTGTAACCTTTGCACGACCTGAATACAAACGCACGTGTGCAATGCTCGTCACAATTTTCCGAAATCAGTAATTTGACCATGTCAACGTCATCCTTGCAGCCTTGCTCTCTTGATCTTTCTCTTAAATGTTTTAATAAAATCTCGCACACACTCTTGCTTTTCAAGTCTCTTGGGTTTTTTTTCTCACCAAGTTCAGATTCTTGATAATGTTTCGAATCTTGACTAGTAGGTGCAACATCTTATGTTTAACGTTGTTGTATGTCAGATCGGAATTTATGTCAGATCAGAATCTATGTCCATTCCGAACTGACATATGTCAGATCAGAATTTATGTCCATTCCGAACTGACATATGTCAGATCGGAATAATAAAGAACGATCTTATAAAAGTATTATATGACATTATGATATCAATTCTGCGTGCGTCAAAACAACTGCGTTTGTTATAAATATATGC